TTCTCCTTGGTTAGGGCCACTGTGTACAGCTGGGCAGGTGTCCCCGGCACAAGGGCACCTGGCCAACAGGTGAATGGAGGCTCTTTGTCAACATATGCCAAGAGGAAGAGACTATGGAAACTGATGAATTCATAAAAGTGCTAACAAAAGATCAAGATAAAAAAAATAAATTACATGGGACTGAGTGAACTGATGAGGATGATAATAATTTTTGTGACTTTCTGTTTGAATAAAAAAGAAAGACTATGGGCAGCACTTTCTTTAGCGTTACATAATGACATAAAGTAAATTTGGACTATGTATGGTCCTGCCTTGAGGCATTTAAATATAGACAGGGGAGACTTGGAAAACAGAAAACGGGGGAAAAATTTAAGAGTAATTTCTTTATATTGATATTTTAATGAATAAACAGTATATTTATTCAAATTCCAAGGGATTCAATGACAGAAGAGATAAATGTGGACTGGAGTATTTAGGTATAGCTCCAACAAATCAGTGGAATATAAAAAGAATCCTTAGGTTTAAGACCAGCAGTCTTATCTATTTCTAATGACATAAAATTTTCATGCAGGGACAGTCTTATCCACAAAGTGGATTATTAGAGACATGCCCGGTGGCCTGAGTGGTGTCCACTAGCCCTTGTCATCTTCTCAAATGCCTCTGAACCTTACCCCATCCCCCCGCCTCGGTGCCTGGGATTAGTGAATTATTCCTTTGAGTTAAAGTATGACCATCACAAGATGCCCTTTAAAAAGAGAAGATATTCCCAAAAGATTGAACATACCAAACATGATCTGCCTGGATAATTCTGTTCAGCAAGGCTGATCGCACCTCTGTTCTGAAGAACCAAAGCCTCTGTTCACCTGAGCCTGAGATTCTGTCTTTGCGGAGGGACTTGGAAAGAAAAAGCAGGAAGGAACCAGTTCTCTGTTTTGCACTTCCATAAAATCATTGATATCTCGGTCAATATTTCGACATAGATGACTCCAAAAAAATAAGATAGAAGCTGTGGATCATCTCCTCAAATAAATGCACAAAGCCTAAAACATAACACACGATTCATGGAACTCACAGACTCCTGAAGCCTGTCTAGGAATCTCAGGTTAAGAATTCACTGAACAAATAAAAAGTGTCATTTTTAGTGCCTGCAGTGCTAGGGAACCTGGCATTGCTCACCTTTGCTTTCTTCCCTTTACAGTTCATCCACTCACCTTCCGTGCTCATCTTTCCCAACCCCCCACCCCCACTCCCATTTGTGGGTGGACTGAATTATCAAAATAATGACTGAGAATCCTCACCTTGGGAAAAAGAGGGCTGTGTGCTGCTACCTCCAATTTGTTTCCATGTGCCAGAACTATGTAACCAAGAACAAGGTGTAGCCAAAGGAGGCTGGGCCCATGTGTGGTGGTGGAGGAGAAGTGGGCAGTGGAGGTGGTGTTGCAAAGGTTATATGATGTGGCCCGCTCTGCCGTACTTTGTAGCTGTCCCATCCAGTGAAAGCTCAGTATAATTCCTCCACATCAGGGACAATCAGACCACAAAGTGTAGCCATCAAAGAATCCTCTCTCTTATAGATGCTGGGTCAGGACATACGGAAGTAAATCAGATAGAAATCTTTACTAAGGACCTTCACATGACAAAAGTTTGGAATATTTTAAATTTGTTTTTAGAGTCTTTGACTTCTCGAGCACAAGCTTCCAATGAAGAGGAAGAGGGTCAGGATGCAAGAGCTGAGCTACCCCGGTTCCCTCTTTAAGAAGAAAGAATATAAAGGCCTCATTCACATGGTAAGTGCTCAGTAAGTTTTATCTATGATTATTATGCTCTGTTTGCTGAGTGTGGTATTCTCAGCATCCACAATGTGTGTATCAACTGCTGATAAAATTACCATTGATAACTTCCCACTTGGGAATTATTGAAATGAAATGCCAACTCTCATGGGACATTGGTAACGTGTTCTTCAAAACTTTAACTCCTGAGAAGGCATGTTTGTGGAGGCATGTCATCATTCTCCTTTCCTCCTCATTGGCTGGGAAAAGCTCCCAAAAAAGGACACTGTGTTCATTGGCTGTTGCTGGTATGGTCTCTTACTGGAAAAGGTGAAAGGGGATTCAGGTAAAACAGCAAGGGGACTATAGTCTGGTCTCACTATCTCAGCAGTCATGAGGGTAGAATACGCTTCACAGAGACCTGGGGCCCTAGCATAACTTCATTTAGGGCACAACTGAGAATCCAGGGACCCATTCTCTCTCCTTGCACCTCTTTGAGAAGCATGAACACTGCTTAGGAAGTGGGTATATTTGCATTCGTTTGTTTCCATCCAATACATCCCTTTGGGGGAGAATTCTTCAGCAAGCCAGCTCAGAGATGGTTAGCCGCCTGCATGTCAGACTGCTCCACAGGTGCCCTTGAACCTCAGGAGCAGATTCTGGGAGAGGATCATGGAAGCCTGGATTTCACTTGATTCTTGTAGAAGCTTTATAGACTGTGAATTTCAAGGTCCTGAGTCACCTACTCTGTGTTGAGATCCTAGCAAAGCCCCTTCATATAAAATTGTCAATTTAAAAGTTTTACACTATATAAAGAAAGGCAGAACAGCACAACCATTCCAAAGATGGCCCCCCCTCTCCCCCATGTGTCTATTGTGTTACCAGCTTTCTGGTACAGCCTGGCTGGTGGCAACTGGAATGTTATCCAGAGGGACAAAATCAATGGGGAGGAGTCGTCTCAGATGCAATGTAGAGGACCAAGGTGGAATAAGACGAGAATACTCTTAGTTTTGGCAACGAAGGGGACATTAGTTCAAATTAAGTGTAAGGAAAAGGTATAGAAGTTAACATAGCACCAGCCTCCTTGTACAACAGATAATGAGATAGTCTGTTAAGGAGAAAGGCAAGGGTTTGGGTGGGAATATCAAGGTCAGAAAAGATTTAGAAGAGCCCAGCATCTGTCCACTTCTTTCCAACTCCACCACCTTCAGAACTAATCCTGTAAAAGAAAAATGTATCAATAAATATGTACTCAATGACTTTTCTCTGTGTCAGCCTCCAGAAAATAGCCTTGAACCTTTAAACAGACATTATCTTTGCTTTCTTGGAACTTTCAGGTCTAGTTGGAAAATATGGACAATAAATGTTAGAGAGTTGTGAGAAAGAAGAGTTCACTGGCGGGGGTAGCCCTATTGGGCATGCGTCACATAGCAGACGGGTGCTGTGTGAGATGGAATTAGTTAAGGGAAGAATTCAGGCACCGGCTTAAGACTCAAGAGGCTTAAGACCCTCCAAACTAGTGAATTATTTGTTAGAGAATTTCCCTGTCTCCTATCTTTTTCCAATCCTAGACAACATCACCAAATTAACTGTTGTTATCATGATTCTGCTTCAAAACTGTCAACAATCCCCCAGTGCCTGCCCCTTAGGGTTCAAACAACTTAGGCTAAGATTGAAGGCCTCCATCTGCTGGGACCTATCCTTTCTTCCCAGATCTGGGTCGCACAGCTCTCCATTCCAGCAAAGCTCACCCACTGTCCTTCATTCATGTCCCATCCTTTATCACCTCTCCATCTTTATCCCTGCTGTCCTTTCATCTTGAGTGCCCTTCCCCCACTGCCCATTCTTATTGTCATTTCTGCTTGAAGACTCAACTCTTACTTCCACCAGGATGCATTCTCTGGTCCCCAGCACTAGAAGCAACCTGCCTCTTCTGCACATCCACAAACTTTGTTCATATTTCTCTTAGGACATGTTTTATATAGTCTTTCTTACACTGTAGTTATTTTTATACTCTCTTCATCATCTTACTATCTTATAAACCTAAGGGGAGGATTTGTGCCTCATTCACCTTTATACTCCATAATACTTTATACTCCAGTGCAAAATACACTTAGCTGAAAGAAATGCTCTATTAATGATTGCTGAAGTTAATGCTAGAGAAAAATAAGTCATGTTAGACTGGATGCTTGAAAGTTTCCTTTGAACCTGTAAAAATTGGTTCTTAAGGATATATTATTTTTGGCATCCCTGGAACATAAATGTATATATATATAATTTCATTCATTCATTCTTCAGTATAAATGTATTAATTACCTACCAAATGCAAGACATGTGCATGATAGGGACAGCACTGGCCCTGGATATTTGCAGTGTATGCATTCATTTAGCAGTGTTATCAATGACATAAGCAATGTCATTTTGTTTCCCTTTTTTCCAGACAAAGGGGAGCAAAGAGGCACTCCTTATCACCACTGTTGGACAAGAGCAATGCGTGATAGGAAAAACCTTCATTCAAGTTGTGACCTGTGGTGTTAGAATAAGCCTTGTAATGCACAGAACCAAATTACATGCAATTTAAACACTGACAGAGAATATTGGCTTTTTAGATACCCATCCTAGTGTTTGTTTGGAAATATTGCTTTAAGAAGTATCGATTACACCCACCCCTTCTCTCTTCTCTGTAATTATTTTCCTAGCATTCATTCAATGAAGAGCTTTAAGTCTACTTTTTCAGATGGAAATAAACTAATGAAAATTGAAAATCAGTGTTTTCCTTCTAACAGTGTTAACAAAAAAGTAAAAAATCTCCAATTTTGTAATTACAGTCAACTTATAAATAGGAATGGCCACAAATACGCACAATAAAAATAATTGGTTTAGGGTACATTTATTTTTAAACAATTAGGCAATTTTTTAAAAAGATGTATGTAAAGTGCATTTTAAAATATATTTTTAAAATGTCGTTACAAAATATGAGTGCATCTCAGCTTGATGTCTAGCTAAAGCGTTGCTTGTCCACCTCCCTCTCCAGCCAGGACCTTTATCCCTATCCTGGGGTTGGGGAACACACAGGCCCGTCTCTTGCTTCTTAAGGACCCATCATTTCTCTGCACAAGTGTTTGAGGATCCAATCTGTGGCTCTTTCAGCCAGGAGCCTCCCGGATCTTTCCAGACTTCTTTGCAATGCCGCCTGATGCAGCGAATTAATTTCTTTCAGAGCCTGCCGCCCTCTGCCTTCCTCATCTCCCTCTCTTTTCTCCCACGGCCCATCTGCCCCTCCTTTCCTCCATTCCCCTCTCCGCTCCCCTTTATTTCCACTCCCCACCCGCAGAGCTTGGCTCTCCTCCCTTCCTCCCTCTCCCTCTCTCTCCCCCTCGGCTTGTCTGTATTTGGAGCTCCCGGAAGCCGCCGGCCACTCTCCCCAGGAGCGGCGTGACTGACACCGACTCCTACTCAGGGGGGAGGAGGAGGGGAGGAGGGCAGGCGGGAGGAGGGCGCGAGGGGCCGAGCAACGGATCGGCATCGCCCAGGACCAGACCGCAGGACCCCCAAACAGGTAATCCGGAGCAGCCGGGCCGGGAGGGGCCGGCGGGCAGGTGCGGGGGGCGCTCCGCGGCCGCGCTCGGAAGTTGCGCTCAATGGGTGGGGTGAAGAGGGGCCGGGGCGGGAGGCGCGCGAGGAATAAAGACCGGGCTGGTGCCTGAGGGGCCAGGATGTCGGGGACGCGGGCGAACGCGGGGCCTGGGTGCCGGGGACCCGGGCGCGGGCGTGCGGGCGCGGGCGGGCGCCCCATCTGGGTCAGCGCAGCGGCGCTCCCTGCCCCCGCCGCCTGCCCCGGCGCGCGCTGGCCTGCCCAGAAGGCGGTGCGGCCGCGGAGCGGGCTTGGGGCTGGACGGATGGCCCAAGGCCTTGCGGCCACGCTCCAGGCTGGTCTAACTTTGGGGCTTCTCGCCAGTTTGGCTCTGAGCCTCAGAGAGGTGCAGGGTCGTTGGGGGTAGGGCTGTCATCGGACTGAATTTGACCCTAGCCAGGAAGTGCTGGAAAGGAACGGACCTGGCTTCTCTGCAGAAACTGACTTGAGGCCATGAGTCACTTTAAAAAAATGCAAAGGCCACTGAGGCATTGAGGGACAGCTCCGAAGAGGTCACCTCACAGCTGGGTCTCTGTCTCCTTTGGGTAGAGGGTTGTTTGTGGAAGTAGCCTCGGTGTCATCACTTTGGGGACTAATAATCACATATGCAAACGGCCTTGCCTTCATTGCCATCAGAGTGGTATCCGGCAACACAGATAGGTTTGCAAGTTTCAGCGATATTTGAATTGGTGCGTTCTCTAAAATGAGTGAATATGGGTGACTACATTTAGTGTATTGAACTAGGATTAGGTCCAAACGGCCAAAGCGGAGATGAACACAGCAAAAAGGATCAAGAAGCTTTGATTATGTGGTCATGGGAATGCAGAAGTTATGGGACTTAAACCACCAAAGTTTACCAGAATTGTTTGCAGAGTACTATTTCTTTACTGCTTATATAAGACTTCTTTTTTATTTAAGGAACATAGCTTAGAATTCTTGGTAAAATATCTAAGACCCCTTAATGTAAGATTCAACTGTGGAGTGATCTTTGGGGAAATTGTTCTTATAGTTACTAGAGTCTAATTAGACTGTAAGCCTCTTGAGGGCAAGGATGGGGTTTTGGGTAGTTTTTACTGCACCAAGAAGTATTTGACTCACAGCATGCAATGAGCAGGCAATAAAAGTTTGTTAAAATGATTTACCCAATAGTTTGAGTGTGGCTGGATCGTGACTTTTTGAAGATACCACATTATTTTACAAGGAAAGACTACTCTACAATTCCCAAATGTAAAAATCCTTAATAAAATTAGAATCGAAGTACTATATAAATATTTATTAAAGTTAAAGAGAAAAAATTGAGAAATCAAGAGGGTGACTGTCAAGGTGGTCTTGGCTAGTAGGAAATAGATTTTTTGCTACTCATTGTAGAAGTGAGAAGTAATTTAACTTGTTGATACAGTAAGGTTTGGCAAACTTTTTGAGTAAAAGGCTGGATAGTAAACTTGTAGGTTTTCTTGGCTATGTGATCTCTTTAGTAACTTCTCATCTATGCTGTTGTAGCTTAAAAGCAGCCATAGACAATACCTAAAGGAATGGTGTGGCTGTATTTCACTTTATTCATGGACACTGAAATTTGAAGTTCGTATAATTTTCACCAGTAATGAAGTAGTCTTCTTTTTTTTCAGGCATTAAAAAATGTAAAATTCATTTTTAGCTTGGGAGAGGAGGGGGAGACACAAAAACAGGAGGGGAAAGGGGGCAGGTTTGTCCTGTTGTTAGTAGTTTGCTACTCCCCCCTACCATGTGGTAGAGTTTGGAGAGGAACCTTTTGAGAGAATTAATGGGCCAGATTCTCCGGGTGCCTAAGTCATACCCAGGCATTAAGTTAATGCCTTCAAGAGTAGCATTAACTTATTTTGAGCATTACAGCATTTTGTTTTGTGTTAAATATTTCCTAACAGACATCTTTATGCATGAGGTTTTATTTATTAACGTCTTTATTGGAGTATATTTGCTTCACAATGGTGTGTTAGTTTCTGCTTTATAACAAAATGAATCAGTTATACATATACACATGTTCCCATTTCTCTTCCCTCCTGCATCTCCCTCCCTCCCACCCTCCTTATCCCACCCCTCTAGGCGGTCACAAACCACCTAGCTGATCTCCCTGTGCTACGTGGCTACTTCCTACTAGCTATCCACTTTACGCTTGGTAGTGTATATATGTCCATGCCACTCTCTCACCTTGTCACAGCCTACCCCTCCCCGTATCCTCAAGTCCATGCTCTAGTAGGTCTGTGTCTTTATTCCTGTCTTACCCCTAGGTTCTTCATGACCTTTTTTTTCTTAGATTCCATATATATGTGTTAGCATATGGTATTTGTTTTTCTCTTTCTGACTTACTTCACTCTGTATGACAGACTCTAGGTCCATCCACCTCACCACAAATAACTCAATTTCATTTCTTTTTATGGCTGAGTAATATTCCATTGTATATATGTGCCACATCTTCTTTATCCATTCATCTGTGGATGGACACTTAGGTTGCTTCCATGTCCTGGCTATTGTAAATAGAGCTGCAATGAACATTGTGGTACATGACTCTTTTTGAATTGTGGTTTTCTCAGGGTATATGCCCAGTAGTGGGATTGCTGGGTCGTATGGTAGTTCTATTTGTAGTTTTTTAAGGAACCTCCATACTGTTCTCCATAGTGGCTGTATCAATTTACATTCCCACCAACAGTGCAAGAGGGTTGCCTTTTCTCCACAACCTCTCCAGCATTTATTGTTTCTAGATTTTTTGATGATGGCCATTCTGACCAGTGTGAGATGGTATCTCATTGTAGTTTTGATTTGCATTTCTCTAATGATTAATGATATTGAGCATTCTTTCATGTGTTTGTTGGCAATCTGTATATCTTCTTTGGAGAAATGTCTATTTAGGTCTTCTGCCCATTTTTGCATTGGGTTTTTTGTTTTTTTGATACTGAGCTGCATGAGCTGCTTGTAAATTTTGGAGATTAATCCGTTGTCTGTTGCTTCATATGCAAATATTTTCTCCCATTCTGAGGGTTGTCTTTTTGTCTTGTTTATGGTTTCCTTGGCTGTGCAAAAGCTTTTAAGTTTCATTAGGTCCCATTTGTCTATTTTTGTTTTTATTTCCATTTCTCTAGGAGGTGGGTCAAAAAGGATCTTGCTGTGATTTATGTCATAGAGTGTTCTGCCTATGTTTTCCTCTAAGAGTTTGATAGTGTCTGGCCTTACATTTAGGTCTTTAATCCATTTTGAGTTTATTTTTGTGTATGGTGTTAGGGAATGTTCTAATTTCATACTTTTACATGTACCTGTCCAGTTTTCCCAGCACCACTTATTGAAGAGGCTGTCTTTTCTCCACTGTATATTCTTGCCTCCTTTATCAAAGATAAGGTGACCATATGTGCGTGGGTTTATCTCTGAGCTTTCTATCGTGTTCCATTGATCTAGCTTTCTGTTTTTGTGCCAGTACCATACTCTCTTGATTACTGTAGCTTTGTAATACAGTCTAAAGTCAGGGAGCCTGATTCCTCCAGCTCCATTTTTCATTCTCAAGATTGCTTTGGCTGTTCAGGGTCTTTTGTGTTTCCATACAAATTGTGAACTTTTTTGTTCTAGTTCTGTGAAAAATGCCAGTGGTAGTTTGACAGGGATTGCATTGAATCTGTAGATTGCTTTGGGTAGTAGAGTCATTTTCACAGTGTTGATTCTTCCAATCCAAGAACATGGTATATCTCTCCATCTATTTGTATCATCTTTAATTTCTTTCATCAGTGTCTTATAATTTTCTGCATATGGGTCTTTTGTCTCCTTATGTAGGTTTATTCCTAAATATTTTATTCTTTTTGTTGCAGTGGTAAATGGGAGTGTTTTCTTAATTTCACTTTCAGATTTTTCATCATTAGTATATAAGAATGCCAGAGATTTCTGTGCATTAATTTTGTATCCTGCTACTTTACCAAATTCATCAATTAGCTCTAGTAGTTTTCTGGTAGCATGTTTAGGATTCTGTATGTATAGTATCATGTCATCTGTGAACAGTGACAGCTTTACTTCTTTTCCGATTTGGATACCGTTTATTTCTTTTTCTTCTCTGATTGCTGTGGCTAGAACTTCCAAAACTGTGTTGAATAAGAATGGTGACAGTGGGCAACCTTGTCTTGTTCCTGATCTTAGTGGAAATGGTTTCAGTTTTTAACCATTGAGGACGATGTTGGCTTTGGGTTTGTCATATATGGCCTTTATTATGTTGAGGAAAGTTCCCTCTATGCCTACTTTCTGGAGGGTTTTTATTATAAGTGGGTGTTGAATTTTGTCGAAAGCTTTCTCTGCATCTATTGAGATGATCATATGGTTTTTCTCCTTAAATTTGTTAATATGGTGTATCACGTTGATTGATTTGCATATATTGAAGAATCCTTGCATTCCTGGAATAAACCCCACTTGATCATGGTGTATGATCCATTTAATGTGCTGTTGGATTCTGTTTGCTAGTATTTTGTTGAGGATTTTTGCATCTATGTTCATCAGTGATATTGGCCTGTAGTTCTCTTTCTTTGTGACATCTTTGTCTGGTTTTGGTATCAGGATGATGCTAACCTTGTAGAATGAGTTTGGGAGTGTTCCTCCCTCTGCTATATTTTGGAAGAGTTTGAGAAGGATAGGTGTTAGCTCTTCTCTAAATGTTTGATAGAATTCACCTGTGAAGCCATCTGGTCCTGGACTTTTGTTTGTTGGAAGATTTTTAATCACAGTTTCAATTTCAGTGCTTGTGATTGGTCTGTTCACATTTTCTATTTCTTCCTGGTTCAGTCTCGGCAGGCTGTGTATTTCTAAGAATTTGTCCATTTCTTCCAGGTTGTCCATTTTATTGGCATAGAGTTGCTTTTAGTAATCTCTGATGATCTTTTGTATTTCTACAGTGTCAGCTGTTACTTCTCCTTTCTCATTTC